ATAGACCTGGTAAATTTGCCCTTCCTAAGCAAGAAGTCTGGCCCAAAACTTGTGATGGAAGACTCACAGGGAAGCTTATCTGTGTAGGATAGCAGGTTGGTGGGATTAATGGTTTCACTGAGGATTAGAAGAAAGCAGTATTAGAATTCCACCTCATTCTTTCTGCCTCCCTAATGGTTATGGGATCCCAGAGCCAGGTGGGAGCACTATTCTGCTCTGCATCCTGCTTTCTATGGTCACCCACCATGGATGCCTATTTGGGGCCTATGTGACTGGATGCACAGTGCACCTCATTGTGTACCTGGTAAGACTGGGGTCATTTTCTTATTCTCTCCAATTGACTGTATCTTTGTGGCTTAATTCTAATTCTTTTCAAATAAATGTGAGGTGTGGTGAATGTTGTTCTTTTGTCACTGAAACTTAAGCAAATTGTCAGTCAGTGCATTATATCCAGTTTCCTTCAACCTCAGGATCAAGTAAAATGCCAGAAATCCTGAATAGTAAACTAAACAAAAAAATACACTTTATTACATTCTTAGAGAACATAGCTGAATTTCATAAGACTTTGAGGCTTGCTTATGACTTTATTAACACTTTTGTCATTAGGGGGGGATTTGAAAAAACAACTCTACAACAGCAGTATCAGGCTGTCTCACTGAATTTCTACGTATTGGGTATCTCACAGAACACTGAAGACAGAATGGAGTTTCAAAATCACTTAGAATAGCCCAGTCATGTGGTGCACATTTGTAATCCCAGTGACTCAGGAAGCTGATGTGGAGGATTGCAAGTTCAAAGTGGGCCTCAGCAACTTAGAGAAACTCTGTCTCAAAAAAAAAAAAAATTTAAAATCCGGGGGTGTAACTAAGTGGTAGAACACTCCTGGGTTCCATTCCCATTACCACCTCCACACACAAACAAAATCATCTAATATAACTCTTTAGTTTAAACCCAGACCTAAAGATTAGTAAAAATAAAATTGAAACAAATTACACTTTTTATAATATAACTTTAAAAAATAACATTCCATTAAAAAAGACAAAAACCAAAATCTATTGCAGGGGTCTTTTCTACTTTTTAACAAGTCCAAATGAGATAAATATATCTAGTTCGTTTTGTTATTTAGAGTACCATTTGCCAACAAAGAATTTGAAGTGGAGGAAAAGGGAGAAAGAAAAAAAATACATATACTATATTTTGAATTTGTTGGTTGAAGGAAGCATCTCAACTTAAAATTTTCAACTCTATAGATGTTTTATAGATCCAATGTTTTGTTGTTATTCTTTGCCCAAAATACCAAACCTAGTTTTGTGTTATTTCCTGGTGTCTATGAAGTGGGAATGGACAGCTTCCCTCTCTGTCTTGACACTAAGCAGGCCAAGTTCAAGAACCAAACCACAGGCAAGGGAAAAGTGAGGGCCAGCTCATTAAATTCTGTCTATACTTTTAAGAATAGCCAGATTTTTTAGACCTTACAATTTCAGCATAGTGGTCAGGAGAGCCATCAACAGTAGACTTGGGGTGGCCATTTTTATTTTCTAAGAAGACATCTGAAATGTCAAGGAAAGAGCCACAGACTTGCAGTCAGAGAATCGGAGTCTGACTGCCAGCCCTGTCACATTCCAATTTGTGGAAGTCACATAATTTCAAGTGCAGTTTTCACAGCTATAAAACAGATGATAATGATGATAAACATGCCACAGAATTGTTGAGGATAAATTGAGACAACACCTGTAAAATTGCTGAACAACTGGAGTTATTATTTGCAGCTCCTGTAGAGTATGAAGGTGTATACTAGTCTTGACTGTAAGCCCTTTATTGTTTAATTTTTTTAAAAAAGTTCTGAATATGATAGTTCTAGATTTGAAATAATGGAGACCTGGGAACCAGAGGAAAAAATCCTAAGTTATCACAGGCAACGAATAGTGTGAGTTTGGCTAGATATATTGTGGTCAGCTGGAGAGAGATGAAGGGAGGGAAGCTGTGGCTGGTAATGGCCTCGTGTCTGAGTTTCTGGGAGAAAGGGAAAGGGTGGATCCTACCTGGATGTCCTGGTAGACAGTACTAGGGCCAGGCAGTTGAAGGTTTCCCCCGGCATGCCTAACAGGGAACCTGCTCATTTGCTTGCGTATAATTTAAAAAAGGGAGGTAAAAGACCCAGAATAGCAAAAGCAATTCTAAGCAGGAAGTGTGAATCTGGAGGTATAGCGATACCAGAGTTCAAACTGTACTACAAAGCAATAGTAACAAAAACAGCGTGTTACTGGTACCAAAACAGGCAGGTGGACCAATGGTACAGAATAGAGGACACAGAAACCAATCCACAAAATTACAACTTTCTTATATTTGATAAAGGGGCTAAAAGCATGCAATGGAGGAAGGATAGCATCTTCAACAAATGGTGCTGGGAAAATTGGAAATCCATATGCAACAAAATGAAACTGAATCCCTTTCTCTCGCCATGCACAAAAGTTAACTCAAAATGGATCAAGGAGCTAGATATTAAATCAGAGACACTGCGTCTGATAGAAGAAAAAGTTGGCTACAATCTACATACTGTGGGGTCGGGCTCCAAATTCCTTAATAGGACGCCCATAGCCCAAGAGTTAATAACAAGAATAAATAAATGGGACTTACTTAAACTAAAAAGTTTTTTCTCAGCAAGAGAAACAATAAGAGAGGTAAATAGAGAGCCTACATCCTGGGAACAAATTTTTACCCCTCACACTTCAGATAGAGCCCTAATATCTAGAATATACAAAGAACTCAAAAAATTAAACGATAAGATAATAACCCAATCAACAAATGGACCAAGGACCTGAACAGACACTTCACAGAGGAGGACATACAATCAATCAACAAGTACATGAAAAAATGCTCACCATCTCTAGCAGTCAGAGAAATGCAAATCAAAACCACCCTAAGATACCATCTCACTCCAGTAAGATTGGCAGCCATTATGAAGTCAAACAACAATAAGTGTTGGCGAGGATGTGGGGAAAAGGGTACACTTGTACACTGCTGGTGGGACTGCAAATTGGTAAGGCCAATTTGGAAAGCAGTATGGAGATACCTGGGAAAGCTGGGAATGGATCCACCATTTGACCCAGCTATCGCCCTCCTCGGACTATTCCCTAAGGATCTTAAAAGAGCGTACTATAGGGATACTGCTGCTGGGAGCCATTAGCCAAGTAGGTATGACAATTTCCTTGCCAGCGTACCCCATGTTGCTTAGTAAAAGGACTCGTGGAAATAGGACATTTTGCAGTGACATTGCATGTAGGTGACCTTGCTCAAGAACCAGGGCGGATCCGGGTTTAGGGTGTTCCCGGTTTAGGATAATCCAGGTTTAGGGCGTTCCAGGTTTAAGGTTATTCCTGCTGGGAATAGGGCGTATCCTGCTGCCTGAGTTCCCCTTGAGTTCTCACGGGATTCAGACAGTATTTTTTGGGAGACAGAAGCCCAGTGGGGGTGGATTTGGGCAGAGAACGTGGATTTCCCCAGAACGTGATTGTAGATGGCTGGTGTGAGTTCGGGAATAAAGAGTTGCTGTTTGAATCTACAAGCTGTGTGGTGGCTCGTGATTTTGTGCCCAGCCAGACTGCGGCATACTGCCACATCAATGATCATAGCAGCACAATTCACAATAGCTAGACTGTGGAACCAACCTAGATGCCCTTCAATAGATGAATGGATAAAAAAAATGTGGCATCTATACACAATGGAGTACTACGCAGCAATAAAAAATGACAAAATCATAGAATTTGCAGGGAAATGGATGGCATTAGAGCAGATTATGCTAAGCGAAGCTAGCCAATCCTTAAAAAACAAATGCCAAATGTCTTCTTTGATATAAAGAGAGCAACTAAGAACAGAACAGGGAGGAAGAGCATGAGGAAAAGATTAACATTAAACAAAAACGAGTGGGGGGAGAGAAAGGGAGAGAGAAGGGAAAGTATATGGAAATGGTAGGAGACCCTCAATGTTACACAAAATTACATAGAAGAGAATGTGAGGGGAAAGGGGGGGGGGGAACAAGGGAGAGAATTGAACAATAGCAGATGAGGTAGAGAGGGATGAGGGGAGGGGAGGGGAGGGGGGATAGTAGGGGAAAGGAAAGGTAGCAGAATACAACAGTCACTAATATGCCATTATGTAAAAATGTGAGTGTGTAACCGATGTGATTCTGCAATTTGTATTTGGGGTAAAAATGGGAGTTCATAACCCAATTGAGTCAAATGTATGAAAGATGATATATCATGAGCTTTGTAATGTTTTGAACAACCAATAAAAAAATTAAAAAAAATTAAAAAAGGGAGGTAAATGTCCTAGAAACAGTCTAAATTCGACAAAGGTATGAGGAAAGAATCACATTGACTTTAAGTTTTCAAGGCTTTCATCAGCTACTTGGATTAAGGAAGGATGTAAAGGAGACAGAAATTTAGGCAACCCTATAAGCATTCTTCCCCTGAGAATCCTAATCACCTCGCTGCAGTACACCTCCCAGCAAGTTCCAATATATGGAGCACTTTTTTGTAGGGGATTTAGCCAGTGATTACTTGGAAGAGGTAATGTGAAAATACATACAGTGTTAACTCTTTCTAAATGCTGCACAGTAGAAGAAATGCAAGTAGCTCAAATGAATGTCATGGAGGGTTTCATAGAATATAAGCCAATAGTTATAAATATTCAGTAGGAAGAAGAAAAAAATGAACAAACAGGATGAAGTGGAATCATTAACCAAAGAGTGTGTATGATTTATGCTTTTTTGGACCTAATAATAATAAAAAATAGGTAAGAATTTTTTATACACCTAATATAGTAAAAGGACAGCTGACTATCATTTGAAGTTGAGTACTTTTCCTAAAACATAAAGCAACTAGACAGATACTTCTCAGAAGAAGATATACAAATGATCAACAAATATATGAAAAAATGTTGTTCAACATCTTTAGTTATTAGAGAAATGCAAATCAAAACTACTCTTAAGATTTCATCTCACAACAGAATAGAAATAGAAAGAAATAGAAACAACAATAAGTGTTGGCAAGGATGTGGGGGGAAAGGTACACTCATACATTGCTGGTGGGACTGCAAATTGGTGCAACCACTTTGGAAAACAGTATGGAGATTCCTTAGAAAACTTAGAATGGAACCACCATTTGACCCAGCTATCCCATTCCTCAGGCTATATCCAAAGGACTTAAAATCAGCATACTATAGTAATGCAGCCACATCAGTGTTTATAGTAGTATAATTCACAATAGCTAAATTGTGGAACCAACCTTCAGTAGACAAATGGATAAAGAAACTGGTATATATACACAATGGAATATTACTCAACATTAAAAGAGAATAAAATTATGGCATTGGCAGGTAAATGGATAGGGTTAGAAAATATCATGCTAAGTGAAGTAAGCCAATCCCAAAAATCCAAAGGCCAAATGTTCTTTCTGATAAGTGGGTGCTGATCCATAAGGAAGGGCAGGCATGGAAAAATGGAGGAACTTTGATTGGGTAAAGAGGAGGGAGGAGGAGGTATGGGGGCAGGAAAGATGGTGGAATGAGATGGACATTATTACCCTAGGTACGTGTATGACTGCATATAAGGTGCGACATTACATCATGTACAATCAGAAATGAAAAGTTGTGCTGCAATTGTGTACAATGAATCAAAATGCATTCTGCCATCATATATACCTAATTACAATAAATAAATAATTTTTTAAAAAAGCAACTAGAATAAAAACCACAAGTATTACCAATAAATGGGTACATTTTACAAAATAACTCAGCTGAGTGAAAAAAATGTAAAAATTTTGTTTTTATAGTTAAAGCTTTTTAATCTCTGACACATAACAATAATTGAAAGAATTCTGAGAAATCAGACAAAAGTATTTGGTGGATTTGAGTTAATGGGCCAAGCAAGCTTCTTTTCCTTGGCTTCTCTGTCAAATGAATCATAGATTGAGTCTTTGGTTACAGTTTTGGCTATGGGAGGGATTTCTGAAATGCCAACATAGTTCTTTTTGGCCATCCTTGAACTTGTTGTGATAGTATAGGCATTGCTTCGGTAACATTTCATTGAGGACATGCAAAAAGTCTCTTTCATTCCTCTCCTAAAATTGGCATTATAAATTGAATACAGAGTAGGTTTAGAGGCTGAAGAACTAAAGGATATCCATGTGACAGCTGTGAAAACAAGGGAACTTTTCTTATAATCATGTTCATGGGGGTGCCACAGCTGAACTACATGAAAAGGCAGCCAAGAAAACAAGAACAACAGATTTAAAATGAGGAACATCTTGACTGTTTTCACTTTTGTCCTTGGGACAATGTTCATTGTCCTCCTCACTGTTCGGCCATCAGTACCTATCCTCCAAATATACTTTATGACCTTCTGGTAAAATAAGATTATGAGGACAGATGGAATCACAAAGCCCACCAAGAAGTGGATGACAGTGTAAGCAGTTCCTTCCCAAGAGGAAGGGAGGAAATAGTTACAGTGACTGTCCCAGTTGGAGCCATAGAAAAAGAACACAGGGGTCACAAAGGCTGCATCAAAGATCCATGATGCTGCAATCATTTTCTTGGCTTTTTCTCTGGACACCTTGAAGCTCAGTGGGTAGACAATGGTGTAGAACCGGTCAATGCAGATGGAGAGGAGAACGTAGATCTGGACACCTGGGGTGAGATATTGAAAGTATCGCACCATCTTGCACATTGCGGTACCCAATGTCCACCTTCCAGTGGTGAACTGGAGCAGGACAAATGGAGTGCTGGCCACGCTTATGAGAAGGTCAGCACAGGCCATGGAGACCACAAAGTAGTTGGTGGTAGACTGAGTCCTCCTGCTCCTATGGATAACCAAACAAACCAGGGAGTTGCCAAAGATAGAAAACAACCACAGAGCCCCAAAGAAAATGCTGGCTGTGGCCACTTCCCCCGGTTTCAGTCCATATTGAAGGTCTGTTCTGTTGCTCATCCAGTTGGGCTCCTCATATAAATCCATCAGGTCATGGCTTGGCAGAGGCGTGGCTGTTTCAGTGCAGCTGTGGTTCTGGAGGGACACCAGGGGTGTAGGAATAACCAAAGGTGGCTTGCTGTGATCCATTCTGTGAGCAAAAACCATATTCACTTTTTTTCTCTTAGTTCTGGATAAGAAAAGAAGAATGAGGGCTCCTGTTAAAATGGTGTCAATATAGACTGACTACTAAAACTAACAGTTTTATGACAGATTGGTTGTCATCTGTCAATGAGCGGGGCTTCTGCACTAGCAGGAAAACATAATTACTACCTGAAGAATTTCTGCTCCCCCTCCATTTCTTTTTCATTTTAGAAAGAGCTCAGGCTCTCTCTGGACTCATCATTCTGACCCTTAATCAGATGTGGTAGAACTCATGTCACACCCCATCCCTGCACATGTCATTGTCTCCTTCACCCACTGAGGGTTCACAGAGGGTTGGGGAGCTCAAATCTGGCTCATGGTAAGTTTGTTACCACTAGCTGAAGAAGTGTTGGAAGTCTGGCCAACCATGTGACAAGTTCCTAGATGTCATACACACAATGAAGCTGCAAGAGAGGAAAGCTTGGGCAGAAGGAAACACAGACACTGGCTGTGGAAAAGGCAAATAGGAGTCTGTGAAAATAGACTGTCTGGCTATGGAAGAGCCCTTACTGACTGCAGACCTTCTATTAGAAAAACATTATGGTAACACATGAAACAGTCAGCACAGCTCTTAATTTAATGACATCTGTAAACAGCTTCCTTTTCCAGAAGATGATGCAGTTCATGTACTAACAGTGTGCTACCTACCAATGACGTTACTTTGATGTCATGGTGTTGTTATTGCTTCATGAAAGAACATACATATTTTAAATCAGTGAACTCTGACTCTACCTAAATTGCTGCAGCTCTGTTTATTTATTCAATAAACTAAGAAACTGCTTGGTACTAGAGAAACAAAGATTAGGAAGGCATTATAAAATAATCAGTCTGTGGGGGCTGGGGTGTGGCTCAGTTGTAGCACACCTGCCTGACATGTATGAGGCACTGGGTTCTATTCTCAGCACCACATATAAATACATAAAATAAAGTCTATCAACAACTAAAAAATATTTTAAAATAAAATAATGTCTGTCATATTATAACAATTTGAAAATAATTATAATTAACTGCTAAAAACAGACATATTTAAAAGGAGCTAAGAAACAGAAAAATAGACTCAATTTTGGGGTAGGAAAGGAAAGGTTTCACAAAGGAGCTGAGATTTGAGCCTTACTGCAACATTTTACAAGTTCGTTTCACTCTAGCTTAGCAATAAACTGAAATTTACCAGGGAGCCTTAAAAAATACTGATGCTTGGATTCCATCCTCCAGGGTTCTAATTTAACTGGTATCATATGCAACCTGGACTACAGGATGTTCCAAAGTTCCCCAGGTGATCCTAATGTGCAGCCACAGTTTAGAATCTTTGCTTTAGGGGCTGGGCACAGTGGCCCATGCCTGTAATCCCAGCTATTTGGGAGGCTGAGGAAGGAGGGTCTCAAGTTCAAGGTCAGACTTAGCAATTTAGCAAGACCCTGTCTCAAGATAAAAAAAATTAAAAGGGCTGGGGGTGTAGCTCAGTGATAGAGCACCACTGGGTTCAATCCTCAGTACCACAAAACAAACAAAAAGAATCACTGATTTACAATTATTTCCATGTTTCTGTCTGCCCCACTGAACTATTGGCTCATGGGGGAGGAGGTGTTATTCTTCCTCTATTCTCTACAGCTTCTACTGAAGTTCTTTACATTAGTAATTGCTTTTAAATATTTAGTAAATTGGATTCTTAAGGACAGAGAACTAAAATAAATGACTCCTTATTCTCTGTGGCTCTGCTAGGATAATTAAAAACCGGATAGAAAATCATTGTGCATTCTCAGGAAGCTGAAACATTGGTGACCACAGTGATATGGGAAAATATGACTCCTGATAAGAGCAGGGCAGATGTGATCTAAGTAACCCAGGTCAGCAGCTACATGAAGCCAAAGCCTCATCTAAAGGAGAAGAAAGGTAGACAGGTATCCTCAGACAGGTTCTGGGAGTTCCCCACTCCCAGGGAAACTTGTCTGCTATATTAAATTCTAAGGCTCCAAAGTAAAATTTCAGAAAAGCCTCTTCTGCTCCATCAATTTGGAAACAAACATTCTTCCAGGGAGTGTTTCTGAAATACAAGGGCTCTTTAGCAATTATATCACAGAGCCACCCATATGTGGTCATTTCAGGAGTGACAAGAATTCTTCATCTCTTTCCTGCTCTGACAGAGCAGGAAAGAGATGAAGAATTACAGCCAGTTTTGAGACTGCCAATATATCATACTCCATTAGGTAGAGGACTGAAGGCCTTTTTAAATCTCTATATATTATCTAAAAGTGCAATCACTTATTAAATTATATTACTATCTATCCATACTCTAAGAGATGTATTTAATATATGGGTGGAGAAAATGGTGATGGGTACAGAACTAGGGGCTAGGTAGGCCTCTGCAATCAGGTAACTTGGGGAGCCTGAGATGTTACTAGGCCTCATCACTTGATATTATAATTTTTATTTTGTACGTTTGTCTCCTCCATTAGGTTACAAGTCTCTCAGGGATTATGTCTTATCTCTATATCCCTTGGATATTTAGATACTAATAAAGATTCACTAAACATATGAATGGGCACATATGTTAATAAAAATTATGCAATACTTGAAAAGGTGGCAAAGGTATTGTTGTGCTGGGACGCACACCCCACACAGTTCCCTGGCAAACCTAGGACTTCCATATGCTGCACAAGCACTCTACCACTGAGCCACACCCTCAGCTCTATGAGATATTCTTAAATGGGCCTTCCTCAGGATTATTAATTCTCTGGAAAAAAATGAGCTTGTGCTTGTTTTGCTATTTACTATTCGACCAGCACATAGACACTATGAAAATTACATGTCAACTTGTAGATTTTTGCATAAAAAATGACTCCAAAGTTAATGAACTTATTGCCTTGTAGGACATTAACCAACTTATGTCTACTTAGCTGACACTGTTTTTATACTAACAATGTTTTTTAAAAAATGACTATAAATATCTCTTAAAAGGTTCTTGGAACCAGCTTTATTATTTCATTGATTCTTTCAGTAGTAAGTTAATAAATCTTTGATATATGTTCATTCTGTATTTGTTAAAAAGTCACAATTTTAACTTTTTGAAATTCATACTTTTTATGGCTAGCTGGCAGAATGAATGGATGAGTGGAAGCTAATATAAGAGGGAGGGGAGGAAAAAGGAAAGGAGAGGCACAGATGACAAACTGTGCTCTGCTAAGGGCTATTCCTGACTTTGTGTACCAATTGCTGGTTAGGGTTTTGTTTGTTTGTTTTAAAGACTCAAAAACCCTAACAACTGATTTTTATCCTCCTGAAGTTGTGAAGATTCACAAACATTCTCACCATTTTGGAAGACCATTCTTATTTCTGAAATTTGCTTAAAAATTTAATATCATTCAGGCATGGTGGCACATGCCTATGATTCCAGCTACTGGAGGGGTTGAGGAAGGAGGATAAGAAGTTTGAGGCCAGTCTGGGCAACTTAGCAAGACCCTGTCTCAAAATAAAATAAGGGTTAGGGATGTAGGTCAGTGGTGGAGCACCCCTGGGGTCCATTCCCAATCTAGTAATATATACATACATACATAGAATTTTAAAAAAAATTAGGTGTAGTTGGACACAATACCTTTATTTTATTTATTTATTTTTATGTGGTGCTGAGGATTGAACCAAGCACCTCGCACTTGCTAGGCAAGTACTCCACCACTGAGCTACAACCCCAGCCCCATACATAAAATTTTTATGTTAAAATTTTTACAGTTTTAAAAAAGAAGCATTTTCTTTTTTTATTAGTTGCACATGACAATACAATGATCTTGACATATCATACATTTGAATCAAATGGGGTATGAATTCTCATTTTTCCTGGTGTACATGTTGCAGAATCACATTGGTTATACGGCCACGTATATACATACATCAATACTAGTGTCTATTTTATTCTGCTGCCCTTCCTATACCCCCTCCCCTCCCCTCCCATCACCTCTCTCTACCCAATCTAATGTGATACATTTCTCTCTTTTTTTTCCTTCCCCCTCACATCATCATACATGTATTTTGTATACTGATGAGGGTCTCCTTCCATCTTCCGTGCAATTCCCCTTCTCCCTGCCATTCCCTCCCACCTCTCTTCTCTATTTAGTGGTAATCTTCTTCTGATGCTCTTCCTCCCTACTCTTTTTTGAGTCACCCCCCTTATATCAGAGAAGACATTCGGCATTTGTTTTGTAGGGATTGGCTAAAAAAGAAACATTTTCTATAGAATGGGAAGTATTTACTAGACCTAAGCAGATACATAATGCTATTTACTATAGAGCAGAACAGAAAGATTAATTACAGTGATGATGGTAGGTATAGTGTTGGTATCACCCAGAGTTAATATTACTATGATCAGGCATTTCTTATGCATAATGCTTCAATGTAGGTAATATTATTACTCTGTTTTACAAGTTTAAAAGCCTGAAGTTCTTCCTCTCAGGTCATATGTTGGAAAGACTGCCTTGTCCTTAACTGTCATCAGGGCTTCATATCCACTGAGACCACAAAGGGCTTGATCCGAATTCAGAAGGTTAAATGGGCCATACAGGGGTAGGTCCTTCTGGACTCTTCATCCAAACATAGGAAGATGAAGCTATTCCCCACAGCCTCTTCCTACCCACAGATACATCTGTTCAATATGCCAGCTCAGAAATATGTGACACAGCAAACACTTAAAAAAAAAGTCACTCCCACCACGTACTGCATGGAGGCTTAGCATCAAGAGTGCAACAGACACGCTGGTCTGGAGATACAGCCTTTCTTCAGAATAAAGGGTGTGAGAGCGTTGGAAATGCAACATGACTGATGATTAATTTGTCTTTTAAACACAGAATGAAAGCAGAGCTCCATACTTTAGTTTGAATTGAAATGAGGAAAAGGTTTGATCAATGATGCTACCTACATAGGAAACTGTCTTTTTATAACTTAATTGTTTTATTTAAAAATTATATGGTGGTAGATATTTTTTATTAAACCTTTCCTTGT